TACGTTCCAAGAAATCATTGATCTGCGGTAGAAACAGAGCAACCGATACTCAACCATTCAAATATGAACACTGTGACCAACAAATGAAGTTTCTCCATATCACAGTTGAGAACCATAACAAAAAGTTAGTCCACATTTTGATTTGCAAAATGTACGAAAACGAAAGATCATATCAAAATTGGATTTATTTACCCGTAAACTGTCATTTCTATGTGCAGATACATTTTTTTTTTCACCAGAGTTAGACAGAATTTGACAGCCGTAGCCTAAAACTGATGGCAAATGATTAACCGTGGAATAAAAAAAAAGTGTGGACAAAATTACACTCAACGAAGGCTATTAATATGAAGTTAAGAAATCGGCGACAGTTACGTGAAACTGAGTCCGGTTACTACCAGTAATGTCAGTCTGTCCATCATCCCACAAAATGAAACATTCATGTACACCGATAGTTGTTGTATTAACCTGATGACCAATTTTTTAGCATATTTTTTTTTCTTTTTTCTGCTAAACTGGAATTTGCTTTGACAAACAACAACAACCACTGATCAGACAAAAAACTTCCGCTTTCATTTAACGGACAATATTCTTCCTGTTACCTAATTCATTTATGAATGACGTCACGTCGTCAACAAACCAATGCACTTTGTGTTTCAAAAATTTCAGAAACTCCAAACAACACTGAAGGCCAATAGACAATAACTATACCCATTCAATTGTTAGAATGCTTTTAAAATTAACTATACTTTCTATTCAACTATTAATTTTTGTCCATATAACCTATTAATGGGTAAGTACTCTCGTTTATTATGGACACCTATTTCCTCGTTTTGACTTTACCCAAATTTTTCCTTTTATCCAGACAGTCAATTGTCTTCTTTTTCTTTTTTTTTTGCCCTCCGTTTTTTTTCTTTTGCATTAACTTCCAAATTATTTGCAACTTTGATCAATTATTTTTCTTTTGCATCCTCCATATTTTCTTCTTTTGATTCACCTGAATACTGTATCGTTAAAAAAACATTAAATGTGGTTAATAATAACTAACCCATTAAATTAAGCAGACATTTAACGCATACCAAACCACCTAAATGATACTTATTAACTGCAACACTGCGCATCTGAATCTACCATAATATTTATCAGTTTAATTTCAGTTCCATCGTACATGACGTAATATCACTAGCTAATTGACTGTCAAATGTAAGATGAATTTGCAACTGTAGCTTTTCAGTGAAATAAACAATTAGAAAAGGAAACCGAATTGACTTATAGAATCAGTAATAATAAAACCTTCAAAAAACTCAGTTAAGCACCACATTCCGTTAATTAACTGCTAAACCATAAAGTTAAGCGAAAAAAAAACTATTAAACAAACCAGTACTTTAACCAGTCCTTCTTCAACAGCTGTTGTTGCTATTAAGTAATCGTAAAGTGTTTCCTCAGTAAATTGCTAAAA